TAATTATGATTTTTAAATGGGTTTAATATAACATGCAGCCTTTGAAAACAGACTAATAATGTGTTAAATACATTCTCGTCTGTGAAATGCGGCACTTCCAGTATTTTGCCGGTTAGTCGACACGGGCAAAATGAATTCGAGGATTTTTAAAAATCGAATAGTCGAATAACATAGACGAATCGCAACAGCCCTACTAAACACGCTCCGCCCAAACGCTAGATTAACTAGAAACCGCTGCCGTGAATGCGTCGCTATTCCCGCGAGAGGCGAACACACTCATGCAAACGCTACCTACAAACTCGGGTAAATGGTGAAGTACTCGCCTCCCCCTCAGTAGTCCCGCGAATGCATCACAATGAGCACAAACCATCTTCTCGTGAGACGAGCGCGTTCAATTCATGCTTATCCCTCACAAGAAATAAGCAATGAACGCAGAGCGCATCCAAATCCCTCGAGAGCTAAACGCGCTTGCTCTTCACCACACACACACAACACAGCACGCGAGCCGTGTGAAACTGCAGGTATCAGAGCAAAGCCTCTGGTGAGAAAACATGCACTCCTAGTCATGCTTAGCTTAACACTAACATTTTTTTTTTTTTACATTTGTATTATTATTATGCTTCCATTTACAACAAACAAACAAGGTACATAATCTAACAACATGTGAACAGCCTTAGGTTGAGCATACCAGTTATAAACAAGATCATAATAAACCAATAATAAAGAATAAAATAAAATAAATAAATAAATAGAAAAAATAAAACAAACCAAAAGGGGCTTTTTACATTAGTTTATACATGCCCCAAAATAAATTTTAGAGCTTTCTTGTTTTTAACCAATTCTAAAGATTTGCACAAAATTTTAACCTCATTCATCCACTGGTTAAAGTTGGGTTTAGATTTAAACCATCTACATTTATGAATGAAAAACTTTCCAAGACAAAGCAAGAAATTAATAACAAAATCCAGCTCTTTGTTTTCCAGACAAATACCAAACCTAATTAACTTCATCGTAAGGGGTGGGAGTTCAACCTCTCTAGACTGTAGCCAGTTCTGTACATCTCTCCAAAAAAGTTGCACCAAATCACAACAAAAGAAAACATGCTCTAGATTTTCAATATTCGTTTCACAAAAAACATAATTATTCACATCCAAATTAAATTTGTCTTAAAAATGCATTAGTAGGATAAATCTCATTTAAAATGTTGAAGTTCACCTCCTTAACTTTAGGAGGAAGAGGAAAAGATATATAGCTTTTCCTAATTTTTTTAATTTCCATACATAATTAGCTTTCTGTCCTTTTGCAAAATAAAAAAAAAACGCTTTTCTTTTAACAATGTCCTTTAAGCCCCTAACATTCAGAGAACCAAATACAATTTTGTCCGTAATCATTAACACTAAAATGGAAAAAACAAATAACTAGTAAATAAAAACACAAATTAAACCACCCCTTGTGAATTCACACTCAGACTCTATGAACCTTAACTTACAAATAGAGCTCCAGTGTCCCACTGAAAGGTTTCCAACTACCAGTCAATTAGAAACAAAACGCTTTACCCGTCGAAATCTATCCTTCGACCTTCAATGAAGCCATATGGACCGCGAAAAAACGCCAGTTTTCCTTTCCTCCTTGCTTGTTCAATTTGAGGCCATAACTTTCGTCTGTCTTCCAAATATTCACGAGGAAGCATTTCGGCAAATCGAACTCCCTCCGCCTTACAGACCGGTGAATTTTTGCTTCTCCACCAGATTTCGTCTTTCACTCGCCTTTGAGTGAACAGCACAATGGCATTCCTGCTTTTATTGTCCATCTTTCTTCCCAGCCTGTGGACAATGTCAACAGCCTCATCCATCTTTGCGTCCATCTCAGGTGCAATCTTACCGAGGATTTGTATGACATGTGATCTGAGGTCTTCGTCTTTTTTTTCTTCCATGCCTTTGATACGGAGACACCACCTCATTCTATATCTTTCTTGTTCTCTCACCCTCTCCTTAAGATCACAATTATCCTTGCGCAGATGTTCATTTTGTATCTCCAAGTCCTTTACTCTTTTCTTGCACTCATTCACCTCTTCCGTGTTGAACTGAATCGCCTTCGTTAAACTTGCAATCATGGCGCTACTTTGTTTAGATTGCTCACTTAAATCCGCCAGCTTCTCATCCACTCTCTTTTCCAGATTTAAGATTGCCTCCAGAATGGTTTCGTTGGAGTTGCACCAAATCACAACAAAAGAAAACATGCTCTAGATTTTCAATATTCGTTTCACAAAAAACATAATTATTCACATCCAAATTAAATTTGTCTTAAAAATGCATTAGTAGGATAAATCTCATTTAAAATGTTGAAGTTCACCTCCTTAACTTTAGGAGGAAGAGGAAAAGATATATAGCTTTTCCTAATTTTTTTAATTTCCATACATAATTAGCTTTCTGTCCTTTTGCAAAATAAAAAAAAAACGCTTTTCTTTTAACAGTGTCCTTTAAGCCCCTAACATTCAGAGAACCAAATACAATTTTGTCCGTAATCATTAACACTAAAATGGAAAAAACAAATAACTAGTAAATAAAAACACAAATTAAACCACCCCTTGTGAATTCACACTCAGACTCTATGAACCTTAACTTACAAATAGAGCTCCAGTGTCCCACTGAAAGGTTTCCAACTACCAGTCAATTAGAAACAAAACGCTTTACCCGTCGAAATCTATCCTTCGACCTTCAATGAAGCCATATGGACCGCGAAAAAACGCCAGTTTTCCTTTCCTCCTTGCTTGTTCAATTTGAGGCCATAACTTTCGTCTGTCTTCCAAATCTTCTCGAGGAAGCATCTCGGCAAATCGAACTCCCTCCGCCTTACAGACCGGTGAATGTTTGGTTCTCCGCCAGATTTCATCTTTCACTCGCCTTTGCGTGAACAACACAATGGCATTCCTGCTTTTACTGTCCATCTTTCTTCCCAGCCTGTGAACAATGTCAACAGCCTCATCCATCTTTGCGTCCATCTCAGGTGCAATCTTACCGAGGATTTGTATGACATGTGATCTGAGGTCTTCGTCTTTTTTTTCTTCTATGCCTTTGATACGGAGACACCACCTCATTCTATATCTTTCTTGTTCTCTCACCCTCTCCTTAAGATCACAATTATCCTTGCGCAGATGTTCATTTTGTATCTCCAAGTCCTTTACTCTTTTCTTGCACTCATTCACCTCTTCCGTGTTGAACTGAATCGCCTTCGTTAAACTTGCAATCATGGCGCTACTTTGTTTAGATTGCTCACTTAAATCCGCCAGCTTCTCATCCACTCTCTTTTCCAGATTTGTCTGTCTTCCAAATATTCACGAGGAAGCATTTCGGCAAATCGAACTCCCTCCGCCTTACAGACCGGTGAATTTTTGCTTCTCCGCCAGATTTCGTCTTTCACTCGCCTTTGAGTGAACAGCACAATGGCATTCCTGCTTTTATTGTCCATCTTTCTTCCCAGCCTGTGGACAATGTCAACAGCCTCATCCATCTTTGCGTCCATCTCAGGTGCAATCTTACCGAGGATTTGTATGACATGTGATCTGAGGTCTTCGTCTTTTTTTTCTTCTATGCCTTTGATACGGAGACACCACCTCATTCTATATCTTTCTTGTTCTCTCACCCTCTCCTTAAGATCACAATTATCCTTGCGCAGATGTTCATTTTGTATCTCCAAGTCCTTTACTCTTTTCTTGCACTCATTCACCTCTTCCGTGTTGAACTGAATCGCCTTCGTTAAACTTGCAATCATGGCGCTACTTTGTTTAGATTGCTCACTTAAATCCGCCAGCTTCTCATCCACTCTCTTTTCCAGATTTAAGATTGCCTCCAGAATGGTTTCGTTGGAGATTTTATCTTTCTCTCTGTCAGCTGTTGGCTTAACCCTTTTCTCCGCAGGAGTTTTACTTGGCGTTGAAGAAAGGAGCCGTCTCCGCGATTTCTTTTACTTTGCACAGTAACCTCCATTGCATAGTCGTGCATCATTACTTTAGCCTCATCGTTCTTTTCGATATTAGGCGACAGATCTATCCCTTTGGGGTCTACTTTTAGCTTGGCAGGTTTAATCAATTTTTGTGGAGACATCTTAACATTAAACAGTCGGAATTACTTCAAGCAAACTTTGGGGACCACTATCACGAGCTTCGAAAAACACAACCGCTCAACCCACCATCTTCGCACCCCCCCGCTTAACACTAACATAAACAAACGGTCAGTGAAGACGAAGAAGAGGATGACGTGTTATCCCGGCGCCCTTTTATACTGTGATCACACAGGGTAATGACGTCATAGGCTGTCGCCGACCAGTGTTGTTGTCGTTTTTAGATGTATGCTTCAGTCACCGGTCACACTGAAGGCTTTCCCCCATAGTGACCCCCTAGAGGATGCTGTTCGAAGTTCCTTCGAAAGGGAACTTGACACTTGGTAATGTATTTGCAGTCAGTGTGTTTCTCTTTGCGAGACACAAATAACTTGAATTCTTCATCAAGCGCACCATGGAGAAAAAGACTGTACTCTTGGAAAAACTAACACCAAGTATAATTAAGTATACCAGTTATCATTTGCTCAACCAAATTTGGTTGATAATGTATTTGCACTGGCAAGTTTACTAAAAAAAACTAATTAAAATGACATGTTATGAAGGGTGAGCACCAGCCGGCAAAAACATAAATCAGCATCTATGGTTTTACACCAAGCAAGTTTTACTTTCTCATTAAATTAATATTCAAATTCATAGTGTGACACAGATGTGAAAAACAAGTCCCTCAATTAGTTGTTCTAATGTGATCTATGCAGCTTGTATTTATAGTGAATTTTAACATGGCTGTGACACGGTTTTGACCAATCAGTATTCAGCACTAGAACTATTCATTGTGCATTGGTGTATATGCCACATTGTGTATGTGTACCCATTTGTCCATCACTATTGTTCTCACATGTCTGTTTATGTTTTAACATGCAGTTGATGTGTATGTCCTGCAGGCTGTTCGAGGATGCAGTGAGTAAACTCAACCTAGTGGCCCTAGTGGGTTCCCTGCATCAGCTCAGAAAAGCGTCACAGTCTCAACTCTTTGATTCAGTCACAGAAACTGGAGACTACTCCTTAGCCATGCCAGGTACCCAAAGATTATTGACACAGAATAGCTTTTTTCCCTTGTAAGTGACAGCTTAATTTAGGCTAACTTATTTTATAAATGTTACTTATTTCAGGTCAGAGAAATTAGGGTTTTAAAGAACCAAATTCAGGCAAATCCCACATTTTGTATTAGGGTTGAACAAAGTGCTAGTCTCATATGGAAACTAAAATAAAATTGTTTTAGTACTATTCAGCTCACAGAGTATTCACATAATATTTAGTTGGACCTCCTGAAATCAATGAACAATATTTTCTAAAGGTAATGCACTTTTTTTTAGGAGTTTTACAGCCCTTTTTTTGGTTTTCATTAAAGGGGAGGCAAAGTCAACCCAGGACAAGCGTAGTGCACTCCACCTCTTCAGGCTGGGAGAGGCCATGCTTCGCATTGTGAAGAACAAGAGCAGACCGCTGCTGCACATGATGAGAGCCTGGAGTGTAGTAGCACCCCACCTGGTGGAGGTGTGAAAAGACAAACCCATCATGAGGCTAATACATCCTTAAGTAGTAACAGATTTTTTTCTGTATTGTGACTTACAGCCGACTGTAACGGTTTTCTTTTTTCTTGTTCCCACAGGCATCTTGTCATAAGGAGCGACATGTATCCCAGAAGGCTGTGTCCTTCATCCATGATGTTCTGATGGAGGTTCTGAGCAGCTGGGCAGAGCTGCCACACTTTCATTTTAATGAAGCTCTCTTCAGGCCTTTTGAGCACATCATGCAGCTGGAGCTCTGTGACGAAGACGTCCAAGATCAGGTCTGACATTCTCACTTATCATGCAGACAAACTGAAGGTTGGTTTAAACACAGCCTTGTTCAAACAAACTTGTCTCAGTGCCACATATTTTTACTCCATTGTAAGTTAATTGCGGTGTCCTGTGCATCTGTCTGTTCTTGTACAGGTGATAACATCCATTGGAGAGCTGGTGGAGATGTGCTCAGCTCAGATCCAGTCTGGCTGGAGGCCGCTGTTCAGTGCTCTCCGAACTGTGCATGGAAACAAAACAGATATGAAGGATTACCTGATAGGAGAATACTCTATGGGTTTGTGAAATTTGCTGTATTGTTAGTTGTTTGTGCAAAGAATTAATTTTCCCTCTGATTTAATGCAAAACAATAACAATAAGCATTAATAACAGCATTATGATCAAATATATTTTTATATAAAATACATAACATAATTCTATAGCATATTTATATATCTTCATTTGACGCTCTGATTTTGTTTTTTTTTTGTTTTGTTTTTATTGACCCTCTAACACTTGCACTCTCGATTCTATTTTAACTACTAGTTTTCTTTAAAAAAAAAAAAAGAACCTCTAACACTATCATTCTCTATTATTTTTCTATTCTTTTGACTTTTTATTTTTATTAAAAAAGACCCTCTAACACTAGTGTTCCCTATTCTTTTTATATTATATCTACTTGATTTCTTTTTATTTATAAAAAAAAAAAACTTGCCATGTATACTAGGGTTGGGGCGATGTCTACAAAATTGGCATCGGACGATGTCTACAGTGAAACATCGTGATGGACGACCACCTTGAACTTAAATGGCTGTAAAGCCAGATACCAACGGGTGATCCGGGCATTGGTATGCTTCATGCGGTGGAGCCACACCTCCGAACAGAGTGTGAACTCCCGTCCCAGGAGATAATAGCGAAGGGTGAGAATGGCCCATCTGATGGCCAGACACTCCTTCTCAATGGTGGTCTCATTGTCTCTCTCTTAGAGAGCTTACGACTAATGTACAGCACCGGCCGCTCCTCTCCCTCTATGTCCTGGGACAGGACTGCTCCAAGCCCTCTGTCCAATGCATCGGTCTGTAACAAGAATGGGAGAGAAAAGTCAGGAGTGTGCAATAGCGTTCTGCCGCATAGAGCAGCCTTTCCTTGGGTAAAAGCCTGCTGACAGCTCCGTCCACTGGACCGGATCTGGTGCTTCCTTTTTAGTAAGGTCAGTCAGTGGGCTGGTGAGGTCCAAATAATTAGGCACAAACCTTCTGTAATATCCCACCAGCCGCAGGAACTGCCTTACCTCTTTTTTGGTCATAGGTCTCGGGCACGTTGCAATCGCTGCGGTCTTATTAATTTAGGGACGCACCTGCCCATAACCTAAGTGGAAACCCAGATACCGAACCTCCACGCGCCCAACCGCACATTTCTTCGGATTGGCCGTTAAAACGGCCCTTCTCAGCACTAGGGCTGGGTATCGAGTTAGATACTTTTTAGGCACTGACCGAATTGCCTCGATACCATCAAGTATCTAAAAACATCTTGTCGTTCGGTACCAAATTTCGATACCTAAGGGGTTAATCTCATCAGCGTCAGTGAGCCAATAAGCGTGCAGCACTAGCCGGTGTGTTCGACTAGAGGCGCGATCATCCGCGAGAGCGATTCGAAAGTGCACGGAGCAGTCTGCTCTCTTTAGCTCTCGTGGTACTGTAATACCACCAGTATAGAGTAGCGCGGGAGCTGCGTGGAGTTCCAATCATATGCAGATGTCCGTTCATACTAACATTACACGACCGAAAGCGCATGTTATGTGACCATTCATGCAAACTGTAGCATCATGCTACATGCTGTCTAACTAATTTATGCATTGCTCAAGACATTGAGCAAATAAATATAACAAACAATAGGGTAAAAAATGACAAACTTACGCTGCTGCTGCTGAACGCTGCTGAGAGACGCATAGACGCAGGTATTAACAGGCACTTAATCTCTCTCCCTCTCTCTAATAACCGCATTAGACTGCATTAATAGCTGCGTAAGCCTGCATATCAATGGCTCAAGCCTCTGTTATCGCCTCTAAAATGACGTTTTGGAATTCGCAATGGAAGGTTTGGGTAAAAATATTAGTTCAACCCACACGAGATTTCAGGATGGAAACATGTCAAATGTCTTGAAACAAATTATCTGAACAATGTCTTGATGTGTGGTTGGGACTCCAGGCCGTTAAAATTATTAGAGAAATAATGCACTCCCGGAGGTGGTTATGTGGCCACGACTATATGGTATGGTCTTTCTCAGTTCTCAAACAAATTAAGAACTATTCGATTTTTATTGACTGAACGCAAGCGCTTATTCCGATAGAAAACACTGTATTCCACTGATTAAGAAATATTTTTGTTTGCTTGGGTGGTAATATTAGGTCTATTATATTAATAGGGAAGAGGGCCCAAAACATTTTTTTTCTACATCACAAAAATAGGTCAATCCGGACCTGCCATCTAATGTGTGTTTTGGCCATGTAATGTTGCTGAAATTAAATATGTTATTACCTCTGAGTCAGAGCAGCGATCATGGAAGAGAGAACACAAGCAGACAGCGCTGGAAGCTGCTAATGCTATCAGTAAATCAGTGGAAAATAAATAGAAATCATGATTCTGTCTGAGCTATGCATTTTAAAACAAACACTAACTAGTGTAAATGTAGCCTAACAGATGTGTAAACTGAAGACTATTTGAGCTTTGTATACTGCATTAGGCTAACCGAGATTTGTCACAGCACTTCCTATTATTCCTCTTTTGTTGGTTTTGATTGCTTCTATTGTCTTCATTTGTAAGTCACTTTGGATAAAAGCGTCTGTTAAATGACTAAATGTAAATACAATGTAAATATTCAAACTAAAACAACACATAATATATTTAACAAATGGGTCCACTCGTGGTATGGTTCATATGTGTGGGTGGAAAGGACAAAGGCAGGCACCCACCAAGACCGACCGCCCTTAAGGGCTTCACATATGCATATGCTGGCATATGCAGCATGCTGCCGGAGGATTTTATCCATCAGGCACTAATGCAACTTTTTTCTTTAGATATAGGCGATAAGGGGATCTGCCAATATCCTTTAGTCAAATCCAGTGTCAAATAAAATTGAGCTGTCCCAAGCCGATCAAGCAATTCGTCCACCCGCGGCATTGAATATGCGTCGAATTTCTCAACTCAACTCAATCACTGTGGGGTTTTTCTATTACTCCCATGTCTAATATCGCCTCAAATTCCATCTGAACAACTTTTTTCTTAGGTTCAGGTAAACGATAAGACTGGCTGCGCACCACCACACCCGGCTCTGTCTCAGTATGGTGCTGAATAAGGTTCGTTCGACCGGGCAGGGGCAAGAACACAGCTGCAAAATCTGCTTGCAACTGGGCTATGCCAGCGAGCTGCGTGGGCGAGAGGTGATCTCCTCCCGGCGCCAGAGTGAGTGATTGAGATTTGGCATTCACTTCTGGCCCGAGATCATCCTCTCCACTCACCGCCATCGCCAGCATCACTGACTCCACCTCGTTCCATTTTTTTAGGAGATTGAGGTGGTATATCTGATAACCCTGTCTGTTCACGCTACCTCATAATTGAGATCTCCGACTTGCCGTGTGATCTCATACGGTCCTTGCCACTTGGCAAGTAATTTGAAACTAGACGTAGGGAGCAATACAAGTACTTTATCTCCCGGTGTAAATTTACGGAACTTGGTTCCCCTGTTGTACAACCGGCTTTGTCTTTCCTGGGCCTGTTACAAATTCTCCATTGAGAGCCGCCCCAAAGTGTGGAGTTTTGTTCGCAGGTCAATCACATACTGAATTTCATTTCGACTGTCGGAAGGTCCCTCCTCCCAAGCCTCTCTTAGTACGTAACACCCCGCGAGGCTGACGTCCATAGAGAAGCTCAAAGGGGGAAATCCCCGTGGAGGCTTGCGGGACCTCACGCACAGTGAACAAAAGGGGTTCCAGCCACTTATCCCAATTTTTGGCGTCTTCGTGCATGAACTTATGAATCATTGTTTTCAAAGTGTGATTAAATCGTTCCACCAGCCCGTACGTTTGTGGGTGATAGAAACAGGTCCGAATCGATTTAATGCCCAATAAATCATATAGTTTGCGTAATGTACATGACATAAACGCCGTGCCTTGGTCAGTGAGAATTTCCTTCGGAATTCCCACTCGGGAGATTACACGAAATTGCTGAAATGTTATGGAGCGTGACTGCTTCCGGGTATCTTGTTGCATAGTCCACTAGAACTAATGCAAAACGATGCCCCCATGCGGATCATTCCAATGGCCCGATGAGGTCCATACCAATTTTTTCAAAGGGGACCTCCATAAGAGGGAGAGAGCGCAAAGGCGCTTTTGGGGTGGCTGGTGGGTTCACCAACTGACCACCTGCGCACATTCTCGTGAATACCCGGGCATAAAAATCGAGTCATGAGACGATTCAGTGTTGTTGCCTGTCCTAAATGCCCTGCCATTGGATTACAATGAGCCGCCTGGAAGAGCATTTCCTGGCGGATTTTTGGTACTAACAACTGGGTTGTTTCTTTTTTTGTTTGAGCGTCTTGGGTCACTCGAAACAACCTATCTTTTATAATAGCAAAATAGGGGTAGGAGGCTGGACGATCGGGTTGGAGAGGCTGACCGTCGATGGAACGGATCTGTTCAAAGGCATTTTTGAGCGTCTCATCCTGAGACTGTTCCAGGGAAAAATCATCGCGCTCCGAGAGGATCTGCCTCTCAATTGCGCTCCGTTCCCCCGGCACAGCCTCAGGCGGTCCCGGTTCTGCCTCTCCAACCTGCGCGACCATCCCCCTTTCTGGCTTTATATTTCCCCAAGAGACATCCTCACACAAATAACTCATTAATTAATTAAAAGCTAGCCAATTCCCAGAATCAGCGGATGTCGGAGGTGTGGGTTAACTGCTACCTCCACACAATGCATTTGTCCCCCTCGCCACACCACTATTTTGTAGAGAGGGAGTCAAAATGGCAGTTTCAAATTACAGGGGGGTAGAAATTACTTCAGAAAAATGACAGCATCATAATGTTACTTTTACACAGAGATTTGTGGGTCTGTTAGTAAAATCTTTTGACTTTAGCTATCTTTGTTGCATTATGTGCCAATGGTGACCATTCAAAAATGGGGAAACATTTTTCAAGTTTTTTCTCCAAAGTTTGCATGCCTGTGACTCAGGAATTCTTAAAGATATATTAATGCCCTTTTAGATATTGGGTCTTAACAAACTTTCCTTTTGGCATCTGTATTTATAAGGCCCTGTATAGTTCGGTTCCAGAGATATTGGAATTTTAATATGGCTCCAGGCGTAAATTGTTAAAATGTACACACTTTCAGTGGTCAAAAACCAAATGTGGGTCCGTTTGCAAAAATATGATTCTTCTTTTTTTTTTTAAAGAGCAATGTCTGAAGAACAAATAATGTTGAAACTAGAGATGTATCTTGTTTCCTTCCTTCCAAATGTGGTTTTGTGTTTTTCTAGTCATCACTGTTGACAATGCAAATATGCAAATAATAATAAGTAACCCAGGGATTAGGATTGTACAGTGTGACACGTCAGATTATTAATGACCAGGATTAACTGTTAACTCTAGGTATAGTATGAACCGTGTGAAATGTAAAATAAGATTACCCAGGATTCCATTTACCTCAGGTTTAGAATTACCCAGTGTTAATTATTTCACATGTGAGAGACCTTAAATGTTTGAGGTACTATCAGTGATTCTGCCAAATATGCCCTTTAGCAGTAGATACTACTTGATTTAAGACTATGCTTCATATTTTATAACAAGAAAAAGAAATTCTAATAAACCGGGTGAGGTATCTTAATCTTTGATGTGAATACAATGTGTGGAGAAAGTAACCACATTTCCCTATGAGGCATTAAACACTTTGTAGCTGCATAAGCTGTAAAAAATGAACAAAATCCCTTCTTCCAAATATCACGGAAACTGATTCAAATATAGAATCTTATTAATTGACTACAGAGAGCCAGATAATGTGCCTCTACTTGACCATTTCAGCGCATTTTTAGCACTAAGACAGGTATGTTCCATGCAAATATTTTGATAGAAGGAAACAAGATACAATTCTAATTTTAACATTATTTCTTCTTCAGACATTGTTCTTTAAATAAAATAAGAATCAGCTGCATACAAAGTGACTAAATCTGGTTTTCAACCACTGAAAATGGGTAATATTCAACAATCTGGACATAGAGCCTCATTGAGATCCCCATATCTCTGGAATTGAACGATGTAGGGCCTCGAAATTTAGGAATTCCAAAAGAAAAGAATATTAACAACTAGAATCTAAAATCATATTGTGATATCTTTAATACTTCTTGAGTTATAGGCACGTAAACTTTGGAAAAATCATATTTATGGCACTCGGACAGTTATGTTCAATGCAGTTGTTTTGACAGAAGGAATCAAGATACATCTCTAGTTTCAACATTATTTGTTCTTCAGACATTGCTCTTTAAAAGAAAAGTATCATATTTTTGCAAACTGACCCACATTTGGTTTTTGACCACTGAAAATGTGTAAATTTTTACGATTTGTCTCTGGAACTGAACCAAATAGGGCCTTAAAAATAAAGATGCCAAAAGGAATGTCTGTTAAGACCCAATATCTAAAAGGGCATTAAGATATCTTTAATACTTTTTGAGTTACGGGCCTGCAAACTTTGGAGAATAAACTTGAAAAGTGCTGTTTCCCCATTTATGAATGGTCACCATTGGCACATAATGCATCAAAGATTGCTAAAGTCAACAGATTGTACTAACAGACCTACCAATCTCTGTGTAAAAGTAACATTATGATGCTGCCATCTTTCTGAAGTCATTTTTACCCCCCTGTAATTTGACTGAATCTCAGGTGAAAATTGCCATTTTGACCCCCCTCTACAAAATAGTGGATTACTCAGTAAATATTCATCCATGACATTTCATATTTTGGCTTTCATCATTATACATGTCTATCTTTCTTCAGAAAAAACATTAGCAGAGTCAAAAATTTGTTGTTTATGATATTAACTGAATAGACAATTCTTCCACTTAAGTAATATTGTTCATTGTAGGCTTACGATTGCCAAGCAACACAGCAACATAATAATATAGAATGGATGGTAACGGGTGTCTGTGTTTTGCATCAGGTTCAAACAATAAGTTTGTTCAACGTGTGGCTGGATTAAAAGTGTTTGAAGCTTTTTTTTTTTGAAGAAAAAAATAAAAAATGCTTCATAATTTTGAGACAAAATTATTTTCAAGTAAATTTGACACAATACACAGTTGACCTTAATAGCTACACTATGTAACTTTTTGGGATAAATGTTATTAATTAATGGTGTATTAATGAATGTAAGTGTATGGTGTGGTGCTGAAAGTTTGTCATAACAAATTAGAAAAATCAACTACATGCATTTCTGTTTACATTTTTTCACTCTTCTTTATGTATGCAGGAAAGTCACAAGCACCTGTGTTTGATGTCTTTGAAGCCTTCATTAACACAGACAACATTCAGGTGTTTGCCAACGCGGCTACTGACTACATCATGTGCCTTATGAAGTTTGTGAAAGGTTTAGGTGAGCTGGTCTTCTAAACAATATAAAATATATTTATTGTTGTCTTCATTCATCACTATAGACCTTTATCCAACTATGCCGGCTTCTGCTTTTGAGAACCCTAGAATATAAAAAAAGGTCTATAGAAGTCAAACCGATTAACAGATTGTCTCTATATAATAAATTATATTTGCCGTGTGATTATTTGTAGGAGAAGTGGACTATAAGGAGATTGGGGACTGCGTTCATGTCAGTGGATACAGCTCAACAGATCTGTGCCTGCCTGCCCTGGACTATTTGAGGAAATGTTCACAGGTGCGTAAGATTAACACATTTCTACCCAGAAAATGATTTACACACTTTCAGATGCTGGATCTGGGGCAAAAAACTAATTTTCCAAATGAAAAAAAAAATTATAATAATAACATTAAGTTTATTAGGTGTTACTTTGCATTTGCAGTTGCTTGCTAAAATCTATAAGATGCCGTCCAAGCCAGTGTTCCTGGGAGCGCGACTGGCCAGCCTCCCGATGAGAGCTCAGGAGAGGTCTGTGAGCAGTGAGGATGGCATGGACTGTGTTTTAGCAGAGGTTGACGATGACACAGGTGATTTGTTGATGTATTTTTTGAGGTATTCTTTGCACAAATGATACGGGTTGAGTTAAAGTATATGGTGGAGTGACTGCGTGGCAAAAAGACTGAATGGCCGTATTGATTTTCAGCGACAGAATGCTGCGACAGAACACAAAAAAACACACATCTAAAACGAGAGAGAGCTTTGCGATTGACTCTTCAAATAGATTTGCCAAGAAAGCTGAGGTATATTTTTACAGACTGCCGAAAGCTAAAGAGAAGAGAAGCAAATGGATCACTTCAATTTAAAGAAACAAATGGACTCGCATTTGCAGTTATCATTTTATGTTAATATGTTGAATTTTGCAGTAAAATCATACCCTGTATATTGTATTGTTATATATCATTTTGACAACTCAATTAAATATTTACCATCTTATATTCTGCATAATTGGATGTTTTTAAATAAACACTGACAAAAACTATAGAAGCTTTTGGGCTGGACAATATGACGATATTTACATTTACATTTAGCCATTTAGCAGATGCTTTTATCCAAAGCGACTTACAAATGAGGACAATGGAAGCAATCAATATCAACAAAAGAGCAATGATATGCAAGTGCTATAACAAGTCTCAGTACACACAGCACACGTAGCAAGTTTTTTTTTATTATCTAATAAAAAGAAAACGGATAGAATAGATCAAGCTAGTGTTAGATATATATACAGTGGTGTGAAAAAGTGTTGGCCCCCTTCCTGATTTCTTATTTTTTTTGCATGTTTGTCACACTTTAATGCTTCAGATCATCAAACAAATTTAAATATTAGTCAAAGATAACATTCAAATAAGTACAAGCTAGAAAGGGAAGGAATAAATAAAGAGAGAGACATTTTTTATTTATTTTTTTTAAGTATAAAGTCAAGTAGTGTCGAAAGAGATGAGTTTTCAGCTGTCGCTTGAAAATTGTCAAGGACTCGGCATTCTGGATAAGGGTGGGAAGATCATTCCACCAGCCAGGAACGGTGAACAAGAAATGTTCTGGAAAGTGATTTTGAGCCTCTCTGTGATGGTAGCACAAGGCGTCGCTCACTAGCGGATCTCAGACTTCTGGAGGGGATGTAGATTCGAATAGTGAGTAGTGAGATTAGTGAGTGGAGGTAGGAGGGTGCTGTGCCTGTGGCTGTTCTATATGCAAGCATCAATGTCTTGAACTTGATGTGAGCCGCAACTGGTAGCCAGTGCAGGGAGATAAAGAGAGGTGTGACATGGGCTCTTTTGAGCTCGTTGAAGTCCAGCTGCATTCTGAATCATTTGTAGAGGTTTGATTGTGCTTGATGGAAGTCCAGCCAGAAGAGCATTGCAGTAGTCCAACCTAGAAATGACAAGGGCCTGGACAAGAAGTTGTGCCGAATGCTCCGTTAGAAAGGGCCTGGTCTTTCTGATGTTGTGTAGTGCAAACCTGCAAGATCGAGCAGTCTTTGCAATGTGGTCTTTGAAGGTCAGCTGGTCATCAAAGATTACACCCAAGATTTCTGACCGAAGTTGATGGGGTAATTGTAGAAGAACCTAACTGGATGGTGAAATCATGCTGTAGAGTTGGAGTGGCAGGGAAGGTGAAAAGCTCAGTCAGGTTG